TTGTTGGTGTCGCGGCAGCTCGATTACTTTATTCGAGAAATTAGCACTACAGTGCGCGAATTCACTGTGTTTTAGCATGCTGTATCTACATATTTCTCAGCAAAAGTGTCGTCTCGCAATTCGCCTCGCATGTCAACGTTTCGCCATTCGCCTCGCTTGTCAACTTGCAGTTATTGTTGCATAACTGTGTTGTTAGTGCTGTGGATGAGACGGTTTTTGTTAGTCTGGAATTGCAATACCTTTTTTCGAAAAGGTGAGTGAGAGTGCAAATACTTACCTGCCGTGAACAGCAGTTACTATAGGTGCATTTGTATTGAGTTTTGCACGGCAAAACATATTTTTGTGGACGAGAGAGGCATACTGCACGCGTGTATAATACCGTCGTAACTCTAAGCGCTGACTTATGCGATATTCAAAACGCATGCGATTGAAAATTGTGGCCTAATTGACAGGGGCCAATGGTACAGTTTTCAGAAAAGTGTAGTCAAGATGCTGTCTAAAGTTTGTGATGATTGTACCCAGTCTGGTGAATAAACGCTTGATGAAACTTTGCAGCCTGTTTTTCTTTGTGCTTTCACCTGCCGTGGCAGCTTAGACGCATTTGGCGTCGTGTCTAACTACGCCCTAGGGCGCGGTTTCACCTCCTAGCCATGAAGGCCGTATTTCGACGGGAGCGACATGCAAAGAACACCCATGTGCATGTGTTCGGATTCACGGTAAAGAACTAATTGGGTCGAAATCGATCCACAGACTCCTACCCCGCCCCCCCCCCACGGCGTGCCTGATGATCATATGTTGATTGCAGCACATAGAACTCCAGCAATTGTATATGATGGTGCTTCACGCATATATTTTGTAGTGTTATCATGCTTGCTAATAACTATGTTGCTTAACGATGAAATTAACTATGATGCTTGTTTATGTGCCTCGTTGAATTGATGAGTGCTATTAGTGCCGTGAGAAATTAAAATCGCTTATTAAAAATTCATTTTTGTGTAGAGTCCAAGGTATTCAGTACAGCAAGACTGTTAAGGGAAGCAAAGCTTTTTGTATTCGTGAAAGATTGGTATAGTATTAATTATAAGACAACACGAGACACTCACAGAAGTGTGGATAGCATCACGCAAGTGCCTAACGATAAAAAAAAGTATCTGCACTGACGATATGCTAATAAAACAAAAGAATAAACGTCCCTGCTTTATTGCTTGCATCAATCATGAGTAAATGTAATTGCACGCGACAGGCCACGGCCGGCTAGGCTCGCCGTGCGCATGAGCGCGTGCAAGACCCTCTGGTCGAGGAGAAACTAGAACACTGTAGGAGGAACTTTACTTCTCTGGCGCTTGCTACTGGAGGCCGCGATGGGTAAAGCGCCTGAAAGAGAGAAAGTCGCTGCGCCGAAGGAGATACGGAGCCAGTTGCTTCATTTGCGCTGCTTTTTTTTCTTTAGAGTGCAAGGATGTGTTATTAGATGTAACTGCAATTTAAATGTATAGAAAGAATATTGGACAAAAAGTTAAACGCCACCACAAGATCCCCACCTGTGACCTTCAAATAACGCGTATGATGCTGTACGAATGAACTATGGTGGCGGCGATCCCCCCGATCAGCTCGTAGTCTATATATGTGCATTAAAAATAGGAGCGTCAGTCAGTACCGCCTGTTTTCAATGTGGCGAGTGGGGAACGCTCTTTTTAGTCTTTTGGCGTCACGAAGCGTGTGATTATCATCTAGCTCGGGACCTGGTGACATTTAATCATAATATCTAAAAGGACCCACATGGTAGAATACAATGACAATTTATACAAATGGACGCAATTCTACTGGTTGAATTTCAAGGGTGCGTGCCTTCTTACGAGATTTAGGACGAAAACAGAGAAAAGGTCTTGATTACAACAGCAAAAAAAAAAAACAATGCGCTTGCATCACTTACCTTCCCTCATCTGTCATTTCGCATTATTTTTGCTTCATCAGAATTCCAATAGCAAAATAGGTTCAATTGAAACAAATATTGCACGTATATTTTGATTGAACATTAACACATTGTCGTGTAGGAGCACCTGTCTTGGGAATCTAGCTGAGCAGAAAACGCAGTTATTCTTGTTTACCACAAAAACGGGAGTCCGTGCGCAGACTGGATGCTAGAGAGAATGGGCCATTACGAATTCGAGAGCATCTCATAAAAAGTGAACACTTTGCACGCTTTACTGGCTCAAACGTGCGCAACAGTTTTAGCTCAACAGATGTACAGTGAGCCCGTGTTAACTTCAGCTGGCTGTTGAACTGGCTATCATGCATCTACAGTAACAGATTGTCCCAGCTCTTCTTTGTTAGAGTTTAAAGACAGGTTGATACACTTTTACGACAAGACAAAACTCACGTTTGATAATTACTGCAGGGAGAAAGTCAAGCCAAACTATATTTTTTCTTTCCTGTAATTACCTTTTTGGCCATTTTATTTAAAAAGCGCTTAAAACAACTATGTTTGGCATTCATTTCTACTAAGACAGTATAGGTCAATAAAAACCTCTGAATAGGCATATTCTATCTTTCTGTATAATAAATATTAGTATTTTTCTGCCTACTACGAATGTCCGCCAAATGCAAAAAAAATTGACCACCCAAGCACTCCACACAAATGATTAACAAGCGAAAGCTGAAACGGGTGGCTCCGGTGTGTGGCAGTGGTTTATATCAAACCATCAAGCCACTGAGGCCTTTAACAATCAATGGTTACACTTTCGTGCTCCATAATGAGGTTAGACACACGTTTGGTTTGGTTTACTACAGTGCCCTTTCACATGCATGTCGCGCTCACAATTTCGTGATCATGCTGATCATGATCATCGATCATGATGACCATGATCATCGTGTCTCGCATGATCATGAATCCAAGATCATGTGGAAAAAAATTGTATATATATATATATATATATATATATATATATATATATATATATATAATATATATATATATATACATATATACAATATATATATATATATATATATATATATATATGTATATTGTTTATTTGTTTTGTATGAAGCCTACCTCGTAAACGTGGCATTTACAAACGCATTATTATTAGGACAAGCTTTTATTAAACCGAGATATCTAATGGACAACGTCCATTTTCTACCTTCTCTGGTATATATAGTAAGATATATTTGTTAGCTTTAAACATGAAGCTGCGTAATTTACTCGGCAGCAAAAAATATGCTCACCACTGTCTTATGAGCTCTTTCGTATGTTCCTGTATATAAATCTATTTCAATAAGACCACCTTTCTTAATATTACTTTGAAAGAACGACATCTAAATCTAGCTGTTGTTCAAATAATCATTTCCGTTCTGAAACAACGCGCTTTAGGTTTGTGCATATAAATGTACAACCCACCATTTGAAAAAGCCTAGTAACCACGTTTCAAACAAGCTCAGCAAGGTGTTTATGAGAAGAGCCCTAAAATTATAAACAGCTTTTCAAGGCGCGAAAGTTGGCAGGTGCTAGAATCAGCTAAACGTTTACAATCTCGGCAACCTACTGCTACTCATGGCAGTAGATATTCGCGCCTTCTCTGCGATCACCCTGGGTCGTTATGAGTGGACTAGATGAGTAATTGAGATCAAAAAGGCCGTTGAATCAGGTTATTGTTGTTTGACTGTTTCTTCTATATAATGGTCTTATTCGGAATGCAACTGCGCACCTATGGAATGTGACAGCGTGTGTGGGTAATTTGGCAGTAGTTTCTCAAGAAATAAGAAAGTGGAGGAAGCGTGTGTGTATTTGTCATAATTTTCGCACTGCGGCACTTATGTAGGTTTCAACCTCCATGAACCACCATATGATTGTGAGAGACACCGTAGCAGAGGACTCCGGAAAATTTGACCACCTGGGGTTGTTTAACCTCCACCCAAATCTCAGAAAACGGGCCTACAGCATTTTTGCTTGCATCAAAACTGCAGTGGCCGCAACTGCGATTTATTCCCGTGACTTGCGGGTCAACAGCCGGGTAGCCTAACCACTAGACCACCGCGGCAGAGCACTCGTGCCTCTTATATCAGATCATGATAAACCAACGTGTTCATTTGTCCACCCTATAACAACACACACTGCTTCGCAACAACCGTGAGAAAGTTATTATCCCGTTAATTATATGATGGGGGCCTATAAGTTTCTTAATTTAGCACAATTTTTCTAAGCCTGGAGTTTGTAGTTCAGACAAAAGCGAAAAAAGACAACATGCAAGCAAGCAAAAAAATAGTGTTCCACACCCGACGTCATAAATACTAGCGGCGCTGAATAACAGTCCCAAGTTTATATACAGATAAAGTGGGTGGGAGGTGCCCTACCCCTGTAGCTCCGTTAGAGCAATGGACAAGTTATTCAAAGGTCGCCGGTTCGGTTCCTGCCAGCGGCAAGTTACCTTTTAGCCCAGTCAACTTCCTTAATATTTAAATATATATAGAACAAATATCCCCCCGGTATTTTCGTCGGCGTTAGTGGTTGTTCTTTGTCATTAATGCTGTGTTGGACAAAGAAAAATGAGCCCGTAAAGATTCTCCCTGTTTCACAGTTCGTCATTCTACCATAACAGCACGCTCGGCTGCAATAATTTACCTGTGTAGGAATTTCTGTTGCCGTTCGAATAATGTTTATCAACTATTTAGAAAACACAGCATTCCAAATGCAGGAAATAAATGCAATTGATAATAACAATGAATTATAATGTATATTTATAAACTCTTCGTGCAGATATTACATTCCTTCCGTTAAAACTAACATAAAACTTCATTGGGACGTATGCTATGACTTTTTTTTTTGTAATTGCTATGGCATTTCATCTGTTTGTTTTCTTTTCTGGTGTTATCGTATGTATTTAGGACCTGTAGTATACCCTGAAAAATTTCCTTAGTAGGTCTTCAGTGAGAATCAATAAAAATAAATAAAATGATCAATGAACACCCTTGACTGAAAGAATTGAAACAGTCACACTCACTGATTGAGAGTGAGAGTCATCCTGGTCGCTTTAACGGAGGCCGACATGTACGCAACCAAATGATTAAATGTGGCTGCAGTTATCATGGCAGTGTAGTTGACATAAAGTTGCTCAGTGCCGACGTCCACGGATGCGCTAAAGGTGCCGTTTTCCGCTCGTATAATGTTTGCACCTGTCCTTGAGACTGATCCTAGGCCTGCCACTGATCCCTTGAGTAGTAAAATTCGGCCAAAAAACATGAAGTCGAAAACTTGGTCGGGTAGCGCCATGGGATCCAGCTTCAGGTACGTCGTTCCTAGTCGGAGCATCTTTGTAAACGTGTCCACCTTCGGTTCGTGTGTTGTCGCTGCAACAGAAAATAATCAAGAAAGACTACTGCTAGTGCCGCCGTCTAGTTACCCACGTATTTTTTCTCAATATTATTAAGTTTAAACTATAATGCGGTGTTTTACGTCCCAAAGCCACCTTATTATTCTTAGAGGCACTGTAGTGGAGGGCTCTAGAAATATTGACCACCTGGTGTTTTAACGTGCACTGACATCGCACAGTACAAGGGCTTCTATACCGATTCGCTTCCATCGAAGCGTGACCGCCGCTGCCGGGGACGATCCCGCGACCTTCGGGTCCACAACCGAACAGCCTTGACACTTATCCACCGAGGCGCACTCCCACGCATTTCTTGACAGAGCCAATTAAAAGATATACGACAGTTGATATACGACAGTTGACAGCGGGAAATCTAAACACTTTTTTACTACTTGCCCGAATGCGTTGCTTTGTTCTTGTCTGACTGCCCTGATGGTGTCGTCTGACTGTGCGGATGTTGCCTTAATGCCCAGATTACGGCTCCAGTTTTTGCACCAATGTCACTCTCGAAGGTTGCCGTCAGCGGAAGCTAAAATTGTTTTAGGCATAAAGAAGGCAACATAGGACACTCGCACTTTTTTTGTGTTGCGTTTTAAATAAATGGCAGGCCAACTCAGAATACATCGAAAGCCGAACGAATTGTTCACGATCAAGAACATTTTCGGTGGATTAAGGACATTTTCTACTGAGCTTCTCGGCAGAGTGATGTGATTCTTCGGGATGAAACACAAGGCTACGCAATTCTACTGACAGCTTTTCTTTGGTGTTCCCTCTTCTACTTAGTGTTTGCAGTAACGTATCACTACTTAGTAGACTCAGCATATTGTGTGTCCTATGTGACAATCCTGACTGAAGAATCGATGACAATGTAAATGTTTTTTTCATGATTTACAGCTGAGCATTCCTACTACAATATAATTCCGTGGGGGGGGGGGGGGCTTTCATGCAACAGTTATAACAGCATCACGACCATTATCGCAATAAGCCTCACTACGCCCACTTCACTGTGAAGGACTCTCTCATGTTTCAACCAACCAACCAATCAATCAATAAAGCACTCAATCAGTCGATCGCACATTGAAATAATAAATCAACATTATTCGCTGTCTTCCAAACACAAAGCTGTCTTCTGACAGCTTGAGGAGCCCGCCACGTACCTCCATTTATAAAGGTTCACGGCAGAACAGTGATGGTTATATTTACATATAAAAGAAAAATAATATACGAAAAGTTACATGATTGTGAAAAGAAATGGTATATAATTTGGATACAATGGAATTGAACAAAAACAACCTACAAGTGCAAAAAAAAGTGATAAAATAGTCAAAAGAGAAATGAGAATATACATATTATTGACCAATATCGTTGACTAATTTCAAGCATAACTTGCTTGATGAACAACAAAAACAGATCAAAATTAGTTAGTGCGTAATGATTGAGAAGGGAACGCAAGGATTACGGCTCCTCAAGGTAACGCTTTAAACATGTGGCCGGTACCATCCATGTCTCCCCTTTTCCTGCCGCATAATTCTGTTGTTGTTTTTTTCCTTTCCAGGCAACCAATCTCTATCAATCACTCCAAGATTTCTTTATGTTTCAAATTTAAAACGAAAACTTAGTCTATTACAATACAGCTGTCGAATGGTGATAATGTGAGCCCCAATAAACAAGTCTGAAGTTGCTCTCCCAAAAGGCAGAATATAAGCAAATTGATTGAACGTTTTTGCATTTATGTATTTTTTGCAGGTTAGAAATTGTCAATGTGTCCGAGTATAGTATACAGTAAGTATATAAGAGCAAAATATTCAATTGTGAATAAATAATTCCATCCGTATAAAGGGAAGGTGTTTGAGGCAACCAACTATTCTTGTTACGCCACCATACTTTTTATTGGCATTACTATGCCAGGACAAATTTGCAGGAAATACCACTCCTTGAATCTAAAAAGTACCAATGATTGCAATGCTACGATTGTTTAAAACTGTATCTGCATGAGGGGAGGGGGCTGATTTCTTATTCTTTCCTCTAAAAGAAGAAGTTTTGTTTTACTTTCGTTATATTTCATGTCATTTTTATTGACCATGCTGCGAGCTTTTGTAATGAGTCATTACGGATGCTTTTGAGGCCAAGTATATTGTTGAAAGAAAAAAACTGCTTGTGTCGTCGACATATATAATGAAACTTGCCCTAGAATGGATACATAAAAACATCAAGGATATACAAAATGAACATTAAAGAACGTAATATGCTCCCTTGTGGGACTACGCCGGGTACCCTTAGAGCCTCTGAACGCGCCTTATCCATTTCGACTATTTCTTGCCAGTTCCTTGGGTATGACCTTACTAGTTCAAGTGCAGAACCCTATGTGCCATAACAGCTAAGCCTATTTATTAGATTTTCATGATTAACTAAGGCGCAAACTAACTGGGTCCCGTGCCCTATGTGTCCACGTCATCACCCCAAGACTTCTTTCACTCATGGGCTGACCTCACTCTGACTCCCCATCGCACACTTGATGATAAATATAATCGACTCTGATACTCTGGTACATGCACACAGTTGATAGAGCTATATGCATACGCAGTTAATATATCTGTTTACACAAACAAACGTCTATCCGTGCACGCGTATGTGTGTGCCGTGTTCTAAGCTCCGCATTTGTATTGCTACCCCTCATTTGACGCTGTGACGACACCTGCGTAACAACGCAATCCCTGCTATTCTCTCACGTTTAAATAATTACCACTTATCTTTCCAAATAATTACCGTTATCCGAAAAATGGTCGCAAGACACTGCCCTTAATCAGTGAGGCAGTCTTTTGGGCTATGTGGTCCCAGACAGGCACCGATAAATTTCAGGCGAACAATAAAACATTCACCAACACGAATAAACAATAGACAAGCACTCCTACTTGTCTCTCATTTTTTTTCTCCCTATTTAGGTTTTCCGCCTAATGGCATAGTATCAATGCCGTTAATCACGCTCAACACAAAAAAGTGCCACTTTGCCATCACTTCGCCATCGTTGCCGGACATTGGCATAATCAAATAGGTGTCCTTCAAGTAAAGTTGCATATTTGATAGATATGGTGTATTTGTATTTTCTGCCTTTTTTATATTGCGAATAAAACGTGAAATGCCATTGATAAGCATTCAGTGGAAAGCAGCACCACGCACTTTTCTTCAGCAATGACCGACATCAAACTATTCAACTGACACTGCTGAAGAATAATGAAACTTTCGCAAAAACTTGACATAAAAATCACAGTTATGAATGTGGAGGGGAATCACAAAATACATATACCACAATATTATAACAAAAAACCAAGCGTACCGAAAATTATTGTTAATGAAATCGCGAGTACCAAGGCACTACTACTTTGAACACTTAGGCCTATGCACAACAATTTATATAGTTGAACGAACTGAAACGCGAAAGTGCCCGGTGGACGCAGAAGTACAGCAATATTTACAAAAATTGGTGGCAAACTATCACTGCTCAAGAAGCCCCCTCTTTCATGATATAACGTACCAAAAATTAAACAGCGCAAACGAAAGCAAAAAAAAAACGAGAAAAAACGCGATTGTTGACATGCTTATACGATTTGCGACAAAGCAATGTAGCATTATCGCTGCGATCGTCTACTTTACGATCCTAAGCAACGAATAAGACAATCATCAAGCGGTTGTCAACAGTTTAAATAGACAAATATTATTTAGGGCAATACCGACATGGCGCAGGAGTTGGCGTTGAGGCGGTGCCAATTTTCCGCCATTATCCCTTAGAGCAACCAGAAGAGCGTCAATCATAGCAGTGAAGTAGCTCTCACCTGAGCTCCCATATGTAAATGTTACCAGCAGCGAGGTGAGCAGAACTGCCTTGGGGAAATGCATGGTGATGCAGAGGATGTCCAGCGTATGAGTCTGAGTGTAAATGCGCACACAGGGGCACTCTAGCGAGCTATATATATCGGTGTCGTGCGAGATAACGATTACTGAGGAAAACCTTGCTTGCAAGAATCGTGAGTAACGCATAGTAGGCGGTTGCTTCATCTCGTGTTATCTGAGAGTTGGTGTCGTGGAAATGAACAGGTGGTTAGACTCTTTCTTCCAACAGATCGAGACATCACGCGCTTGAATCGCAAATATTTAATCAAGACCAGCGTTTTCGATTGACGTGGCGCGCGTAAAACTGGTCATAGGAGGCACCAGCGTTGCGCAAGCACACCTATTGATTTCCTTTATTAGGCACACCAAAGCGACCCTGCTTTTGACGCTTGTTAATTGACCTCATAATTATTTGAAATCAAGCAATAAATCTTTATGAGACAGAACATCTCAATGTATGTACTGTAGATGCGCGAAAAAGCTATAATAATGAAGTGAATTGAATTTTCTGGTTAATAATGAAGCCTAAATGAGTGCTGCTCCACTGAAAGCACAACAGAAGGAGTATATACCATCGTGGGCGTATAACTTGGCAACGAAGTGATTGAGATGGTAGAAGCGCAAAATATTGTAATAATTTCAAACAATATTTCAACAGGAATCCTCATGTGTATGATGTTGCGAAAAAAGCTCTGTCAAGGCATATAGAGCACTTTTAAGATACCAAGACGCTATTAGGCGAATAAGAGAGAAAATTTATGTACAGAGACACACAAAACTATCAGTTTATAATAGTGAGTCTAAATATTATCTGGGGCAAACACCACACACAAGAACAGAATAAAAGTTGTCACGCTGCTCAAGCACACAATCCTACAAACTGCAGCTGTTCCTTACAACATTCAGAGATCAAACTTAAGCACAACATTAAACATGCCTCAAATAGAACAGCTGTATGATTTCAATATTTTGGCCAATACTAGCAGAGTTTGAAACAAAAGAATTCATCATACTTTACAAACTAAGAAAAGCATTTCAATATTCGTACATTGTTTAATAATAATATATAGGGTTTTACGTCCTGAAACCATGGTATGATTATGAGAGACGCTGTAGTAGAGAACTGCCAAAATGTTGATCATCTGGCTTTAATTACCGTGCACTGACGTCTCACAGCACACTGATCTCCATTTAACCTCCAGCGAAATGCAACCGCCACGGCCGAAACCTGGTACTTGCTGTCTGGCAGTACACACCAAGCGGCTTAACAAGGTGCCCTCCAGCTGTGCGTACGTGCCAACCTGTTCAAGGCATGAGAACTTTATTTAGTAGGTTTCCTAGTTTTCCGCTAATAATAGAGTAGTTGGTGCCAATGTCGACTGAAGCTGTTACATGTTGACCGTCGATGAGTGCAGATATGACGATGAAAAATGTCCAGGCTGAGATACAGGTGTTGCCAAATTGCCGTTGGCTTGAAGGCACGTCGATTTATGTCGAAGTCTTCAACACATTGAGAATCAGCGGCTTTACCTAGAGCGGTTGCTGACGTAAGTGTTCCAGGCGAGGGCTCGGAGGTCAATCTTGTGGCCCCCGACTCCTGTTGCCTGAATGGGAGGGTGATTGAGAGGACGGTGAACGCGACTGACATCTGGGTGGTATGCGCTGCCGAGCGAGAAAATCTCCTATTTCGGGTGGTCGCTTTTCGAACCGGGGACATTGAATTTGCGGGAAACGTCGAAGCCTGAGTCTGTGGTACTGATACTCGACGCATGTGACCCACCCCGGCCCAGTGGTAGCAAAGAAGCCGCTGGTCGGGCATGAACCAAATGTCGGGTTTACGCACGATGGGTCGAGTGTCTTTAAAAAAAAAGCAGTGCCTGTGCAGACTGAAGTGTGGTATACGGGGTTGCTGCCAGTTGCAGCTCTGGTGCAGGTGAGAAGTATGAGAATGTGTTGGCATAACAGGCACACGGGAAGCCGCCGCTCACCGGAAGTGTGACTGACAACTGGGTAGTGCGTCTTAGAGGAACGCGTTCAGGTTAACTTCACAATGTAAATGCCAAAAGTGGTTTATCAAGTTGAACAGGTGCCTAACTTCGAGGTGCGCCGAGTGCCTGCTTGATTTACTCACATATTTCAGTTTTATTGAGCATTTTCTTCAAAGATTTGCGGAAAGAAAATGCAAGGATGAGGGCAAAAAGCTGCCATGTTAGCAGCTTAACGAGGCTCCTATATGATGCTGGCGATGCAGTTAGTAGTAGGCTGCTGCAGCGCCTGGTGCAGTTGCTGCAGCTCATCGCGGACATGCGAACAAATAAGCTCACGAAGCACGTCCACGTCGAAGCGAAATTATTCTAGCCCGATCACGCATTAAGCATTTATTTTCTGATTATTCTGGTTTCTCTGCTGCAATGCCTGTCCCATGGCGACGGCTTGATTGAGGAACTCCGCAACCGTCTTGAGCGGACTACTGTATACATTGTACTGAATATCAATGTGTCTTCGTTCCTTTCCATGGAAATGGTTGGCAATGTGGTCGTGCTCCCCATTTTTTTGTTTCTTTCCCCAGCTTCTCTTCTTTAAAATTAACATTTGGCCCTGGCGCTAATATTTTTTTTATTCGGTAGTCTGAAATATTTCAGTGCAGTAAGCCGGGTATTATATGTCTTTTTATTATATTTAGATTGGAATTCCCACGCAAAAACGTGTCTCTCCGTATTTATACACGTACGGAGTAGAAACCTGGGTGATTGCAAAGGGGGTTCCGCTTAAGTTTAGCACGACACAGCGAGCCTTGGAAAGCAAAAAGATAGGTGTAGCCCTACAGGACAAGAGACAAGGGTGTATCAGTCAACAAATTAATGTTCAGGACATCGTAGTCGAAATCAAGCAGAATTGTCGTTGGGAAAGGCACGTAGCATAAAAGCATGATAACCGCTGGTCATTATTAATCACAGATATATACTTATACTCATGAGTTATACCTAATATTCATACTCACGCCTACGATACTTAATGAGTGCTCACTCACGTTCACATTTACGACTACTGAAACTCATAACGACTCGCTCACGTCCACATTCATGCCTACTTACACTCATAGACACTCGCTCACTTCCATATTCATGCATACTCACATACGTAGACTCTCACTGATGTTATGCTCAGGCCTACTCACACTCATAGGAACTGCCTCCGGCCGCGGCGCCCGCATTTGCGATGAAGGCGAAAATGATTGAGGCTCGTGTGCTTAAATTTAGGCGCACGTAGAAGAACTCTAGTTGGTCTAAACTTTAGGAGCCTTCTACTACGACTTCTCTCATATTCATATAGTGAACAGTTAAGCCTCAAAAGTATTATAGGCCCTCACTCACCTACTTATACTTCATGCTCATTGCTACTCCCGTGCATGCGCACGCCTACTAACACTCATAAGGACTAACTCAGTTTACACTCGCCTATTCATGTCCATGCGTACTTGTTTCAGTTTACTGACACCCACTCACACTCATAAGTGTTCTCTCACGCGTCACAATTACTCGTACTTATCAATAGTCACACGTGTTCATATTCACGTGCACTTGCTTACCCACTAGCTCAAGTTCACCCTCACATCTCCACACATTCGCTGCACTCATGGCCTTACTCATCTATTCAAACTCATGCGTACTCTATCACGTCCACACTCACGTCATTTCATACTCATAATCGCTCACCCGCGTTCATACTCACGCCTGCTCCTACCCGCTCGCCTTCAGTTGGCGAGTTCAAGTGGTGGGTATAACTGGTGCTGTAAAGAAATCTTTCCTTTGACTTCAAAAAAGAAATATGTTCTACCGAAATTGCAATATAGTGTGAATACCAAAGAATGTGTCGTAATTTTACACGAAATAAGGGCAGCAGCCAACTCCCTTTGATTCGATCTCGCAGAACTAGAAATTATTGATGTAGGGGAAAACGGTCAATCTCATGAGAGGTTGCTTTCATGCTGTTTCTTGCATCAGTGGTCACAAAGCGCTATAGCAAAGATCACAACGCGCACATTGGTCTACGAGCCATTCACTGATGTATACGAATAGCATTCACACCACCCATATGAAGTTCTCTGCACCATACCATACCCAAATGCATGCGTGGGGTGGGGGGGGGGTGACCAGGCACTTGCCACCTATGATGGGGGCTCCCTGTATTCCCGTTACATTGACCCAGTAAGGAGGAGGCACTGCGACGAATCTTCCTTGCACCTCTGAAGGGATCTCTGTAAGCGATTATACTCACGCACGCCAACGCTCGCCACAGCACCCTAAAGGTCATAGTTCCTGCGCCAATCACTCAGCCCTCACCTCTCACTTTTCCGGCATTTCTTATGTTCTTTCTCCCAGAGAAATACGTGTGAGACGTCTCGCTTCTTCTTGAGAACAAGCGATTTAAAGTATGGCATGAGGGATGACGCTACGGCGTGCGCCCTCTATGCAAAGAAGATGGTACTCCTCTTTCATCTGCGCTTCAGTCGTGTTTCTCGCCAAGACAAGCAAGCTTTTACTTGCGGATAGAGCTTCAGATTCACGGAGCGATATTATCAGTTTAGATGCAGCTACGTGATGGTGAGTGACGCAGACGTGCCATCGTCGCGAGTGTAAAAAGAGGATGAAAGCGTACAGCTGAGGATGGATGCGAGACGCTGAAGCTGCGCAGTGGCTGTGACGTGTAGGCGGCCAAAAGCATCCGAATGTTCTAAGCGCCACCTCTCGCCACTTGCACTCATCGTCTATTCATCTTGCCGGCTTGCCACCACTAGCGCTACATTACATGTACATCACACAAAAATTGATAGCAACCGGTATAGAGTTTCTCACAATCATACCTAGAGGAAAATCTGGCGCTAGTGAGCGGCTGAATGCAAGTCAGTGACGATATATGTCAGCTTCGAACTTGACTCAGATTTCTATACCTCTAAGTAAAAGAACATGAATTAGGCTATTCATTTTTTGGTTCTTGCACAGAAATGCGTTTTATTTAACACTGGAACCTTCTATGTTGATGTACATTTTTA